TTCAGCCTTGTCAACAATCAGTAAGAGGTCTCCAACTCAGTTCCTCCTCCAACCCACTACTTAAGGACTTTAGCTACCTTCTTCTAATTAAGCCAAAGGTTGATGAAGGGTTCAGGTTGAAGGTCTTACTTCCAATGTTCTTTAATAATATTCAAGAAATTTAAGTGCTGAGACCACACATTCAAGTATCTGAAGGAGCTTTTCTGGTAAGTCATCTTATTTTCTATAGTGATCAGTAAAGGCCTGTGGTCAGAACCAACTAGGCTTAGATGGGTAACAGATGTCTACAAGAACTGTTGGGTCCAATTTTTATTAGCAAGAACTCTATCCAGCCTCTCCCACAAATCCTTCCTTCTCCAAGTAAAGGTAGGACCACAAAACCCCAGGTCAAATAACCCAGCTTTTTGGATATTATCATTAAAGAATGATATGTTGATGGGATTGGGAGGTCTGCCTCCCTTCCTTTCAGCAGGAGAAGAAACGCAATTGAAGTCTCCTCCCACCAGCCAGGCCTTGTCAATTGAACCTTGAATGAGCTGCAAGGATTCCCACAGATCAATTCTAGCTGCTTTAGAACTGCCAGCATAGACAAAAGAAGCAAAAACCTCCATATCCATAAAACTGAGATTCATATGTAAGATTTGGGTGTGGTTAAGTAGGATAGAGCACTTCATTTCTTTCCTACAAAAACCCCAAATTTTGTTGCTAGTATTAGTGAACAAATTGAAGCCAGGGAAGGCTTTAGCAATTTTCAAAGTGTTGAGATGAACCATGGGTTCCAAAATGGCAATACACCAAAGTTTATGCTTCTTATTCAGATATTTAAGTCTTTTCAATGATAAGGGGTGGGCAATCCCCCTAATGTTCCAACATAACAGATTAATCATGGGGATGAGCGAGAAGAGTAAGGTTGGGACCTAGACCTAGTCCTCCCTTTATTTTTATTTGAACCCATTTTTGTTTGATTGATATGGACCTCCAAAATCTGAAGCTCCTTGCCTTTTCCAAGATCTTGTCCTTCAGATTTATAATTCTTTTTCTTCTTAGCTTTCTGAATTTGCCAATCTCACTCCAGCTCTTTATTCATATCTTCTACAAGTTTCTGACTAGGGGGTTCCACCACTGAGTACACCACTGGATGATTCACATTTCTGGGAGATAGGGAGGTAAGTAACACCTCCCCCACTGACTCAGCCTCTGGTTGGATCTCCAATTCCTTAGCCATTGTAGATATTTGGCCAGCAACTTTGCTGCCAACTCTAAATGTCCCTTCCACACTGGGTGGGTCCTTTTGGGTGGGAGACTTCACAGTCCTTTCAGTAAGCAAGGTCATCTTTAGCACTTCCTTATTTCCAACTTCCTGGATATTGATAGTGGCCTCCTCCAACTCCTGCTGAGGTTGGTGGTAAGTCCTTCTAATGGGGGGTTTCAACCTGTAGCATCTCTCCCTGTTATGTCCAAACATTTTGCAATGTTGGCAGTAATGTGGTCTTTACTCCATGATGACTTCTTGCCAGAACCCCCTCTGAGTGTCCCCAATCCAAATTCTCTTAACATCAGGAAGGGTAACATCCCTTTCCACTAAGTTTCTTGCACTGGCTGGTCTGACCTTATTGAAAGTAGCAACATCAACCTTTAAGGGTGTACCTAAGGTGAACCCAATATTGAATAGTGCATTCAGTTTAAATAGATGCAAAGGCAGTTTAGGTAACTTAAACCATATAGGCACTGTGGGAGGTTCTTGTGATGGATCATAATCAGGTGACCATTTTAAAATTTTCATTTTTGTTCCAGCTATGATGATGGATTGCTTTGCAAAGATTCTGGCATAATCCTCTTCTTTAGTCAGCTAGATTAGGAGATGTTACCATCCAACAGCCCTAGCTTTCAATCTGAAATCTTCAGAGATTCAAAGTATTTTCTTACTAGTTCTTTCTCAAAGTATTTTCTTACTAGTTCCATCTTTGGATGTCCCAAGCTGAATTTTCCAATTAGGGTGAATTGAACCTCCAAGTTTAAATCAGCAAGCTCTTTTTCAGAGAAGATAGCAGTACTCTTTTTCAGAGAAGATAGCAGTTGGTTCCCCATCTTTAGTACCCACAGGGTGAATGTAAGAGGCAGATCCTCTCCCAGCAGCAGTGTTATGAAAATCCTGAGGGAAGACTAGTAAATCAGGATCCAAAAAAGGAAAAAGAGGTACTCATGTTTCAAACGACTAGGTGGCTTTAGTCCATTGCAAATTAGTTTCCAAGTCAATAGAGGTACTCATGTTTCAAACGACTAGGACCCCCAAAAAGGAAAAAGCTCCAAGCTAAACACAAACACCAGCTAAGGGAATTAAGAAAACAATAGTTACTTCCCAAAGGCAGCCAAACCACAGCTTCCAAGAAAGTTATAGAGAACACCAAGAAAAAATAGATGAAGAAACAAAAGGAGGAAACCAACTTCAGCTGACCAATGGAACATTGCAGAAAGTTCCAACCAAGACAAAGGAACTTCTTCAAGATCCAGCCAGCTCCTAGAACAGTCTTCACAAAAACACCAGGCAGCTACATTACAGCCAAAACCCTAGCAGAGCTCTGCTAGGTCCGGCCGCCACCTTAAATACGACTAACACCTCCATTTACAAACTAATTAAGAGCATTTGTAGTTTAGTTTGAACATTTTCTTATTTA